GACAACTGAGCCTGGTGCGGTTTAATGAGCAGATGGAAGGTGGGAAACCTTATACGCAGCCTAATAGGATTCTCATGTTCCAGTACAAAATGCACGCAGGGAAGTGGTGCACGCATGGCACTTCACTGCACGCACACACACACCACCCAGCTCAACAACAAATGGGATGCTACCGTGCAAACCTGTCACTGTAGGGTAATAAAGCTAGCTGGGAACATACAGAAGCAGTGAAGGATGCAGGGAAAAAATGGGCCATACAGATAAATCACACCTTGGTCCACAAATGCAACTCCTCCAAGCGTGCAATACGCCAGAGTGAACACACGGACACCCTGCAGATAACACAAGAATTCATATGAATGCAGGCTAGTATTAGCACATGAAAGCTACGCAGCCACAGGAGCGCACCCTTCCAGCACAGATACGTTTCTGCTATCTTATGTTGAGCCGGCAGGCAAAGCGTAGACCAACACTTGTACTCTGGCTTTACTTGTGACTGGACACCGGGGCTTTTCCAGAGAGCTGGCTCAGCCCAGAAGACCCGGTTTTGCACTGCCTGGCTCTGAAGTACTGTACAAGGTCTGTCCTTGTGTAGTCTCCCGGATGACACAAACATGCAGTTTATGGCTGTGAGTGCTGAGAAGATGAGATTTATGAATGGCTAAGGTATGCTGAGTAGTAAAACATGCCTCTCCATGGGTGCCGTTTCATGACAGTTGCACTATAATAGCTAGCATCCTCTCTGGCACACTAAGGTAGCAAAAGTTCAGAGTATCTGCTAGGGAGGGCTGAGATAGTTATCGCAAAGAAGCTTCATATTAATAGCCCTGGAGAGGCAAATTTGTGTTCACACTATGCTACAGCACAGGAGTCTCGGCAAATGCTTTTACCTCAGCCTCTTTCTACTCAACATTTACTCAAATCTAGTTAGCTGAAATCCACATTTCAGTTATGCATGTCTGTATAAGCTGACCATCTGCAACAGGACACCGGGCATCAACAAAGTGCTTAGAAAATACTAAACAAAAAATACTTATCTTGAAAGAGCCAAGCATACTCTATTCCAAGGAGAATCTTCATGAGATCCTGCAACATTGTCTTGTGGAAAATGAGTCATGTCTGAATACAGCATAACAGAAAGCCTTGCAAACCAGGAACCCATCCATCCAGAGACAGGTATCTGTTCAGACTGTGATGTAATTTTCCTGTCCTATCTGTGTAGCACAAGCAACACAGCCATCAGAAAAGTGAGGTGGGGTGTGCAAAACAATGTGGAGACAGACAAGTTGCTCGCTGTCTAACAACAGGGCTCTAAGGAATTGTTCAGAACCACCTGGTAACTAAGAGCACCACATACCAAATCTATTTCTTAAGCCCGTAGTTATGGTAAAATCTTCCAGAATCAAAGTATAACACACCTCTGCCTACCCAGAATTAATCCCCAAGATCAGAAAAAAAAAAAAAAAAAAGTTGGCTCTCCTGTCCAACTGAAAGCATTCAAAGAAAACCATCAGTAGTTTCTAGCACCATTATTCATCTAACATCTGCTCATTCTTGCAGTTGCTGTCATGGCTCAGGGGGAAGCTGGAACGCTCCTGAAACCTAGTGTTATCCCTAGTGAAAAGACAATGACAAATAGCAACATGGTACTAAAGATCAAGCAGCAAAAACCCCCATACAAACCTGGGCTACACAGGACAGAAATGGTTCCATAACTTAGTGCTATTACACAGTCCGCCCCACACCTTCCCCTAATAAGCTTAATGGCATCAGAGAAAAGATGACATTGCTCTAGCTATTGTGCTGGAGATAATGGACAATGGTCCTGCGCGGTAGCAGCACTACTAGTCTACAGATCGTATGGCAGAAGGGACCATTGTGACCATGCAGCTTTTCTTCCTGTGCAAGAAAAAAAGCTGTACGACTTTTCTGAATGAATTTTTGTTTGACCAATTATCTGCCTGTTGGGCAGGCACATTATCCTGAATGAGCGATGGCCAGTGATGGAAGATTCAATAGAGTTTTCATGTAAATTTAGGAGTGATTAATTTGTCTCATCATTAAAATTTTACAAAGCTTTTCTGGTTTTATATTTGTCCAGCTTCAATACCAAACAATGTGCTGCTCTTACCCATTGCCTGCTGGAGCCCTTTTGCTCCCCAAGTAACTATTATACTTGGGGAGCAAGTTACCAGTTGTTTTTCATCTTGTGAAGTAAGATTGAATTAGGTCTGTGTTTCCAGGATAACAAATACTTAACAGTGTCCAAACTCTCCAGTTTACCAATTGTCCTTCCTGAAAAGTGGATGTCAGAAACTTGGATTTCTGGCTAAACTACGTGTACGGTTCTGTAAGAAGTCACAGGTGCTTGCGCATCAAAACATACCTCAGATATACTTGGTGATATTGGGACCCATAGATTAAGTCTGACAACTACCAGAAGCACCAGCAACTCACAGAAGTATGAACCTAACCTAGTTCTGCACCAGAAACTGCTGCCTCAAATGGGAACGTATGAAGATCTCTTGCTTTCTTCAATGCTTTCAACAGGGCCTCTCTCGTCTAGTGAAGCAATATCTATGACTTCACAGCGTCTTTTTTTTTCATATCTGCATCTTCCTCTGGAGACCACTTCAGCAATGACTAATCAGACTGCATGCAGGATTTCTGCCAGCCTGTGCGAGCTCGGCATTTCTGCAGCAGTGTTAGCAGCAACAACAACAGACGAGCCGTGACTGGGGCATTAGCAGCTTTGGAACTAATCTGCTCTCCTCTAATGCCTGTGCTCAGTCTACCGTTGTACAGCAAGTTTGCAGCAGAATGGGGAGAAGGGGAAGATGTTACAAGCATGACGGCATGAGAGGGGATCCAGCAAAAGAGCCCTCCATCATAGAGAGCGAGGTGGAAGGATGCATTAAAATGAAGCAGAGTAACCTTGCTTACGCAGATAGGTATTCATGTACGCAGTAGTCAAAATAAGTCAGAAATATGGTCTGGGCATCTCTCAGAGAGAAAACAGCGGAGGTGATTTCATGCTTTTTACCTGCTGTAATGACAGGTCTACCAACATTCTGCTCTCCAGTTTTGACTGCTCCATCACACATGCGTGCTTGAGTGCACTCGTTCACACAACCACACATTGAGCACATCTACCTGCACCCAGTGACAAACTTATTGCCACCCAGTACTATCCACAGGTTACAGAGATTCCCTGGGTCCTGGACCAGACATCATTGAATTGCCATTACCACAAACCAATCGCTCCAGGCAAACACCTGCAAGCGGCCTTCCTGGCACAAAACACAGCCCTTTCAATACCAGAGGATGGCAAGCAAGGTCTGGGGATTCCCACGCAATTCCTATTATGGCCATAAGAAGCCAGAAAATGGGTCCAAAATGAAAGTCCGCAACGCAGTATGTCACGAGCTGTGAAGAAGAGGACAAGCGCCATTCTCCTCTGGAAGGACATGTGGTCATGTGCTTTCATTGCTTGTTGCTGACAGGGATCTGAAGTGCTAGCATGGGTCAGAGTAAAATAAATTCTTCCACGGGCATTCCACTATCTTAACAGCAAAAAATTTACACCATTAAGGTTCAGAAGAAAACCTGGAATTTAGATGTCTCCAGCCAATGTTGTCATAGCTGTATGTAGGACTGTGGGAAACAACTTTATCCTGAACAGCTGGCTATGCTTTGCTTAAAAACAATTTTTATTCTGCTCCAAGTACTTTGATTTGCTGAAGTGTACTGCATTTATTGATGAATGTAGCATTACACTATTCTCTGTGTTTTGAACCACCATGTCTTACAGGCTAGGGCTTTCCTACTTAACAACTTCCATTTCTTCTAGAGAGCAGATCTGGGAGAAGGGCTGAGCAGATTTCAGCAGCAGCTGCGCAACCTCCACATCACAACGGATGGCGTCTGCATCTGCCTGAACAGGCACACAATATAATTTCATTTTACAGAAGTGTGATTTTTCTAAGCAGAAGGCTAGCGTGGTATGAAATCTGGTGATCTGGTGAAATCTGAAGCTCTGTGACATTAGTGTTGATGCCTGTAGAGGTATGGTGTCTACTCCTGACAACTGTTAACTGCAGAGAGCAATCGCTGTGTTCTCAAGTCATTAACAGTGTCTTGGCTCGCAGATTTGGATGAGCTGACAGCTTAGCTTTATGTTGAATTAGTTTGATAAAGAAAGAGCTAGTAGGACTCATGTTTCATATTTCTCAAAATATACAGTATAGTTGCTTGGACCTCTTCTTCCTTGAACATGCGCTCCTTTACCAGCAGCATCCTCCTTTCTTTTCTCTTCCAGAGCAGGAATTATTTTGGGATTGCCACTTCACTTCCTATTTCAGCCGTACGAACAAAGATAAGAAGGTTGGTCTTCTGCCCATCCCTTACACACACCCCACCACCCCTGTCCAACAAGAAGAGAGCTGCTTCCCTCCCACTCTGCATAAAACTCTCTGATATCCACAGTTTCCAAGGCAGCATTGCCAGTGGGTCCCGGGGTATTTCAGCCTGTTTCTCTACAAGCTGATCCTGTCAGTGGCACACACTGCGATGAGCAGCCACGCAAGAACCCGAGGCAGCCTGGGTTACACCTGGGAGGACTTCAAAGAGGACTGGTTACGTGAGCAAACATAACTCACATGAGTAACAGGTTCTACCACTGGGCACTTCCCTCTGTTTTTAGTGTATATCCACACAGAATTCACAGCTTTCTGTGGGCTATTTTAGAAGCGTAAATTCTGTTCTTGCTTCCAATATGAGGTGTGCGGCTCGTGGCTTAAGACCTGCTTGCTGCATGCATTTATTTACCTCCCATCTGAGATCAGTCTCACTGGATGGTAACACAGCGTGGAAAATGCAGAAACAAAAGTACACATTAGATACAGCATGTTCTCATTTACAGAAGCAAAGGTAAAAATGGGAAAGTAAGAGCAAAGTGAAAAACCCACATTTATTCAATGCTACCGACTCTTGTGTCTTACCTTCCTATGGGTCCCAGATCTCCCGAGTCCTGGCTGCCTGCGTCACTGGGTGTGCTCACTGATTTCGAAGAGGGAGACATAGGGGTTGGGACTAAATAATGAAAATAACAGGTATCCCATGTTAACACATGCAGCGACTGCACTGATGAAGAGCAGTGTCAGACAAATCAAAACCAATGGACCAAAATGATAGTGGATGAATGAGTAGGAGAGTTTGAAATGGTGAAAGCAAATAAGGAAGGAAAGAAAAAGAAAAGGAAGAGAGTCAAGTGAATTTTAAGTCTTTTGGAAGTGTTAAGACTGACATGAATTTAGACAGGACTGAAAGCCCAATGGGAATCTACAGCTAATCAATGGAGGAGATATCTGTGGAAATAAAACAGCACTTGTTTTCTTGAGTATAGCTTAAAGTTGACTTGCAGAAGATTTTAAAAGTATGAGGAAATATCAGGGGCTCGTCTTGTCGAAAAACTAAGTGAACTCTTCTGGTAAAGTCAAGTAGGCAATAGAACAAGCATACTTTTCAAATTTTGAATTTAAATCAAAAGCCAGTGTCCATTAGATATGGTCTAAGACTGCAGTGTGGATATGACATCAAAAATAAAAGCTAAATAAGGAAATCCAGCTAAGCTGAAATCATTTCCCAAAGATGGTGAGAATATGTATTAGATTGCTCAGCGATCATGTTTGTCAAGTGATTTAGGTCATATAAAGTTTCCATTTTGGGTGGGATATGATTTCAACACTCAAGGAAATTTTCCCTCGGTTTAGATGCTATTTGTCCAAGTTCTAGAAATGATTTTCTCTTTGGCTTGCCAGGGCTTTTGAAGCATATTTCATGCAAAGGCAGTTTTGCTTCCTGAAACAGGAAAGGAAGTTCATAGCTCAAGGTCAGCCCGAGTTAAAGCTCTTCAGCAAGGAAATAATAAATAAAAAAGTAAAAATATCCTGATTTCTTTTAAAATGGCTTCTCAAAAATATTTAAAATGCAGAGATGGCTCCAGTCAAGATTTAATGCAACTGTTCTTCAACACAGCCACATTGAATAAAACACAAAAAGGGGTTTTAATGCAAGAGCGAAGTTTCCCATTTGGTTTAAATCATGTGCATTTCCTTTTATAGATTTAACGGAGTAAAACTTTAAACTATTTTGTTATGCTTTATAATGTATAATGACAGACCTGTCAAGAGATTTGGATTTTCCATGTGGTCAAACATTTCATGCAGATTCTCACTAGAGACTGTCACAGAAATGACTGCAGCATGAAAAGTGAATTCATTTTTGTGACAGCCCTTTGGCAGGTTACAGGTATGGCGTGGCTGTTTATGTATTCCATGTTCACAGTGAGATCTGGGTATCATATGCGGATCTGAAGGCAGAACTGAAGCCTCCTTTGTATATTAATTGTGAATGTATATACAGGGAATGAGAGAGGGCAAAATACTATTCTTTAACTAAAACGAACCATCTTATATGTGAATTTTCATGTTCTTTGGATAGTACCAAACACAAAATAATTAACTAAGATAAGAATTTTTAATTTGCAACATGAATCTATGTGCTTATTGAATAATACGATAAGGAAGTATATCCTCATTTTTAGATAAAAATTAGTATTTTAAATGCTAGAAAATTAAAAATGTATCAGATTTTATAATATCACAATGTAATTTACAAAACATATTTTATGATACATAAAAATAACCTAACCATTACTTGTCAGACAGTTCTTCTGAGAAGTGGTATTTAAAAGCTTCAGTCACTATATCATAACTTATAAAAATAGTAACTTTTCTCAATAAATGTTGGTTGATGCAAGTTGTGAATTGAAATCCCAATTCAGAATGTCACAGTCTACTTGGATAGGCAGCCAAGCATCTGTTAAGGTGCTTTCCTAAATCAAGGCTTCAGTATTTTGTCAAATTTGGAGTTTTCCCTAAATATTACAGGCAAGAACATCTAGGGGTAAAATCCTAGATTCAGCCCCAATGAATTTAATGACAAGGCTTGGCACCTTCAGAGGGGCCAATAGTGCAGCTAAAACAGTGACAGTGATTCTGGATTCAAGGGAGAAGAAAGCACAGGAAGGAAGGAAGGAAGAAAGGAAGGAAGGAAGGAAGGAAGGAAGGAAGGAAGGAAGGAAATTTCTCACTTTAGGGCCACCCAATAAGTGAGACAGAACTTAATCAAGGTAACCAAAATTCAGATACTATAAACTTTGCCACATGTATTTTTAGACTTTAGATTCTAGAATAGAAACATCAAAACCAAAAAAGAGGTCACGCACATGAAACCAGATCTAAAGTCTACAGTAATGATGATAGATGTGATCTGTCTTTTTATTTCCCCTCTCTAGTTTTGCTTGATTTTAAAAGAAAATAAATGGGAGTTCCCATACGACTATGCTCCTCCTTCCTTAGCAAATGCTTAATCTGAATTTTTGAAACAAAACTTGGGGCTAATGAATTATAGCATTTATAATATTATTTTGTGGGTCATCAGATAGATGTGAGACTGGCGCAGTCCATCAGAAAAGAAATCACTCCTGGTATGCAAAACCAACCTGCATTACGTTCACAAAAATTTCTTGAAGAAATGAAACAGATGTTTTTGGCAATGACAAGTACTCAAAATGCCATGAGCTGGTATATGTGAATGGTATGGCAGGCATTCAAACAGAAGAGTTCACTTCACTAATACAGCCAAAAATCAAAAAAAGCCAAGCATGCTTTAATAGAAAGAATGCATTCATTGTGGCAGAGCTGAATGCTTTACACTGTGCTTCTCTTAAATACCTAGAGGTGGTTCTGGGGATATACCAATGCTCTGTAACAAAGCTTCTGTCTCTCTTCTTTTGCGGTCTAGGTCAGAATCTTCCTGAGCTGGCTCCTTCTTTTGCTGTAGATCAGCCTGAGTAAAAAACAAAGCAAAACAGAAAAGTTTCATCCACGTATAATCAGCTCTAGCAATTAAGTGTGTGGAAAATATTTATAGGCACCGCTGCTTAGGTACACTTTGAAATTCACTTAGATACATTTAGATAATTTATAACTTAGATAATTTATACTCTGTATATCAATAATATTTTTCCCTGAATGCATGGGAAAACTCATCTTTGCAAGTATATTTGCAAGGATTTTTACAGTACACTGATGGACATCTTCTGCCTCTCACTCATCAGATGCAGCTTATTCAGCTAATATAAAAGCCAACCATAGAATAACAGATATCATTACCCTGAATAAAAATGGCCCCTTCCTACTTACTCAAGGATCAAGAAATAAAATTTCATTGGACTTCAGTGGTGTAGCTTAAGGCCCTATATTGGTCCCCAGCACTTGTTGGCAATAAAAATACTTTCTCATAAATGTCAACATCTAATAGGAGCAAAGGAAAGGACTAATGTGTCTAAACCAGGATTTTGGCAGCCCCAGGCACTAACAGCCAAAACTAATGTTCCACAAGACCCCTCCCTCTTTGCTTAGATATCTGTATCCACTTGGAGCTTCCTTATATCTATGCTAGCCTCCTTCTCTTCTAGTCTACTGGGACCTAGAAACAGGAGGAGCAACATCTGCATTAGTCAGAATCCCTTATATTTGGCTCACTGTTCCCCAATTCAGTAAGGCAGAAGGAAAACACCAGTACCCCAGCCTAGAGGTTAGAGTACTCCCTTGAAAGAAACAGGCTTGCAACCCTTCTCCCAAGTAGATGAGGGAACTGAACCCATGTCCCACTTTGTAGTCTAGTCCAGTAACCAATAATGCAAGTAAAATAAAATGCAAGTGGTCGTGTCTATCATTTCATCATGTCTTAAATACAGCAATCTCAGCATCGTTCTTATAGAGAACGTATGGCAGCATCTGCCTCTATCCTTCGGATCCTAAGGTGGCTTCTAAATCGACTGATCCTATCTAACCTCTAGACAGAGAGGTTTTCCCTTCTGCTGAAACCAGAGTGTGGGGCACAGGGGTCTCGCACGGTGCCTCAGCCTGGTGTTGATGATGGTGCAGGCACAACAGAAAACCTTGAAGTTCAGAAGCATCCCCATGCTCTCCAGTTTGGACATGGCCAGGATGCAGAAGAACATTGCTTTTACAGACAATGACAAAGTTCAGCCACATTCCTGTGCTCAGCTCTTCCCATGAACTAGCCGGAAGTATCTCAGTTGTAGACAACTCTTCTGCACCAGCGTACATGGCTAAGCACCTAAGTGAACGTTAGACTTCGCTCCTGGAGGCCGTCAGGCATACCAGTGCACCCCGTTGACGGTGCCACTGTTAGGCACCGTGGCGTAATCTGTAGACCTGGGTGTCCAGAGGTGGGTCTGGCTATCAGGGCCAATGGAAAGTTCCAACCACCACAAGATTTCCACAAGGCATTAAACCAGAGGCAGGGGACAAAGGAACGGCCTTAATAGCTTCCTCGAGCCGCTAGCTTGGCTCCCTTCCCTCTAATTCATTAACAGGCTAGTAATGAACACTGAAAATGTTAACCTCTAAAGTCCTGCTTACAGAGGACTCCCCTCGTGACTCCAGGAGCCTCACCGGGGGGTGTGCTGGTAATTGCACAGAAATGGTTCAAATGAAAAAAGATTAAAAAGACAGCCAAAACTGGAATGCTGATTTCTTGGATCACATCACATTTCCACAGTAATTCCATGAAATTCATGTACAATATTAAAGTGTCAGTTTAAAAGGAAACCAGTTATTAGTAAAGGATAACAGGTGCTTTAAACTATGGTAAGTGTTGACATTTGAAGGAAAGGAAACATAATCACTTAATGCTTCTCTGACTTTGCATGAAAATTAATATCCACTCCCTGTCAATTCTCACCTCTATTCCACTAAGTGACTGAATAAAAAGAAGTACAAATCCCTTAATGAAAAACCTAATGCATATTGTCAAGGACAAATAAACTAATATGTCAATCAAACTTTAACGGAACTGAAAGATGCACCCATGCCAGAAGATGAAAATGCAATTGCAATTATGTTTTACTTTAGTGGAGAATAATAATTGTAAATCTGTTACCTTAGCTAGTAATCAAACTAGTCTTCAGAGTACAAAAATACATATTTAGGTTGTAATGGCTTGAAAAAAATGTAAGCCCTCTTTCTGTCTTTCCCCACTCTCCACTCCCTTTCCATTGAAGGAGAGCCCAGGAAAAAAAATTGTGGCAAAGCAATTTTTTCTTTCTACACACACATACACATCATGTTGTCTAAACTGTTGTCATCTGACAGTGCATCGGTTTTAAAAGCAATTCCCTCACCCCAACTTTCTTGATTAGAAATAAGCATTTTGATTTTAATGTTAGACTGATGTGGGTTTGAGGATCTCATTCCACATGACAGATACCTTGGGGTATACGGTACTGAGACGTCAAAACCTCAGCAAGCACCTTCTGCAAGCATGAGCTATCTAAAAGGCATTTTGCATATTTACCTCTTTCTTCTTCCTTTCTTCCTCCTTCCGTTTCTTTTCTTCTCTTATCTGAGCCAAACGCTGCTTTTTGCGCTCAAGTTCTGCTTTTAAATCGCTTTTGTCTGACATTTTGACTCTGTTGGAAACAAAATTATGGAAAGCAAGTTGAAAACAGAATTGATTTTTCTATTTACTGAAAAAAGATACTTAATTACATTAAAAACAGTGCTTCTAAAATTGCTACAAATGTATTTCTATACAAACTCTGGCCCTTGGACTACACTGACATTGTAGAAAGCAGGATATTTGTTTTGCAATTTTTATTTCGGCAGCTCTGCCAGACCGTGGGACCCAGATCCATAAACAGATTTCAATTTTAAGCACGAGAACTAGATCTACCCCAAGCAGCCCCATACCTCTGAGACGAGTAACGATTTTACTCGCAAAACCTGGAAACACGATAGCTTTTGCTTCTCCACGAACAGGGGGCACCCAGGACCCCCTCCCGTTCCGCTGGTACGGCCCCACGCAGACCACCAGCTCCGTCTCAGTATCCTTCGCGTGCACCCCCTCCAGGGAGCTCCCTCACCGAGCTAGGGGCGATCCTGCGCAGGAATCTCCTCCACCCTTTCCAGGGAAAGCTGGGCCATTCCCCCAAAAAGCTGCAGGCAAGGCACAAAACCAGGCAACCCAGCAAACCTGAGCTTCTCTTTAACGAAGCGGCACATTGCTCCGCTGACAGTCTCGTGCTCAGCTCATCTCTCCAAGAGGCAGAAGACGTGCCTAATATTCCTGATTCGACTCCAACCAAGCAAACGTGGCAAAAGCATTTCTTCTTAGCTGCTAAAAGACCCTCCTGCCATTTAAACACAGTTGTCTGTAGGACAGTGATATGAAGCCATGCACACCCTTTGTGTTTCGAATCTCTCTATGCTGTTGTTACATGAGCCTTGAAAGTGAAGGGTAAAGAAATATCACCATATAGAAACAGAGCCAGAACTCTAAAAGAACACAGGACACCAATCTTTTTCTACAGTTTTTAAACCCCACCAGTGTTGCACAAATCTGTAACTTAAGTCACAGATTATTTATTTATTTTCTAACATCATCAGCATTATGGGCCATCATCTAACTGTAGTAATACTGATTTTCTTATTAGCACTTTACTTCAACGACAGTCCTGACTAATATAGACATTCATGAAAAGAGTTAGCTATGCCTTTCCTATTAATTCACACATCACTGACCACATCCACCACTGCAACCCAGAATCAATAAGATCAATGGCAGTGCCATGTATATGCAAAGGAAGTCTATTGTTTGCTTGATGCATGGGAAATTTAATTGGCAACTCTCTGTTAACAGTAATGAGAACTCCACCCATACTACTGCCTGGGTGGATGGACGGATGGAGAGTAAATCTGTACGCTAAAAAATATACAGCACTTTCACCCATCATAAATTCCTCTGCAGTCATCAGCTTCCTCCTTAAAATGATAAAAGCATAGTTAGCCCACGATATGGAGGATATTGCCAACAAAATGTCACCTGCACATTAAATGCAACCTCATCCCCAAATGCTTTGTTGTCTTTGCAAGCACTTTCCTTTCACGAAAGAAAAGAATAAAATGTGGAATCATAAAAGGAAACCCTTCAATGAAAATGGCAGCCGTAATAGCAGCATGAGGAATACCAGAGGGGCCAGCACACCTGTATCCGTGTGTGGACCACAGCAGGGATCCTAAGGTTTCCCAGTCAAACTCCCAGCTGAAGCCCACCAGCAGGACTTACACCAGTCCAGCTCACACCAGCACAGATTCTGCACTTACTTCAGCAGAGCTGCCCATCCTGGCAAGGTACCCTGCAGTCCTTTCAGGGCAAAGGGACTCCCGGTTCAACCCACAACAACTCACAGTGAATGGTATAGCTAGGAAGGACATTAAACTGCTAACAAACTGCCATTAAACTGGACCACTGGCTGTATGTGGAGGACGATAATTTATTTATTCCTCCATCAGTCTGGTCCTATTCATGATGATATTGTTTTCAATTTGAGAAAGGGAAATCAAAACTGTCAGAAAAACTGCATTTGATATCAAGAAAACTAAGCAGTAGCACCTTAAACAACATTTATCTATGTGATCAGTTGACGTCAGCAAGCTATTTTTACATGAGAAAATGCCCAGAGAAGAAAATAAGCTTTTTAATGGAAGTGCAGGTAGTCTTTTGCCTATTAATCTGCCCAGGATTTGTGGGTGTCTTTCAGATACGGCTGAAATCCTATTTGAAGTCATTTTCCTAATCTGTTGCACACATTTAAATTTTGATTATGAAGTTTCCCCTCAGAGCCCTTCGGACTAGATAGTTTTTGCATCCTTTTAGTTCTGCAGTTTGGCAACAGACAGCGAGCTCCTGTTTCTATGCAAAAAATATGCAAATGCGTTTTAAGGCTCATGACAGAAACCCTGAGGGTCCAGCATCCCTTTCAAGCTGTTTGTCAGATATCAATGAATGGCTTCCTAAAAATTCACTCCCTTAATGCCAGGGAAGCTAACTAGCTTTTTCCCTGATTTGAGCATCACCGGTTTAGTGCCTGGCCCCTTCTTTACAATGCTCCAGTCAGGGTGATCAAATCCTATTATAACGTTGCCCTATTTTTAACAAAACAGATCTTACATACAACAAAGATGATGTATTAAATTTCCTTCAAAGAATGTTGCCAGAGCTGAGTTATAGAAAGAAATTAATCTTGTTACTTTCATCCTGCATATATTATAGTCATGCCTTAGCCCCCCGAAAAGCTTACCAACCTTCAAACTGGCTATTTACAATTTCAGCACAAATTGAATACCAAGGGTACGTAACCAGCTTTCTCAGATGTCAGCAAATCAGCAGTAAGCAATGAGGCAAGCGTACTTATCTTTTGACTTGGCATTAACCATAGACTTAACATTCTGTACTCATTACTGGAAACAAATTTATAATAATTGCCATTGCGAGTGCCAAAAGGCATGCCACACCAAAAGAGATAAAGGCAAACAGTAAAAAAGATTTACTTTTAACATTCTCTGTGGTGCAGAATGACAGCCCAAGGCTTATGTACGACCTAATCTTCTCCAGCCTGGGAGAAGGCATTGGTCAGAGGGAAACAGTAAGGAGCACATTTTGTGGTGAAGTAATTAAATAACCCATCTGGGAGAAGGAACACGTAGGAACCAACACACAGAACACTGCATTAAATGTAGAAATAGTTCTCATAGCAGGGCAGCAGCCAAAGGCTCCCCTCTTCGAGGGAGGTGCATAATCTTAGATCAAGTTTTATTTTGTTTGGCCCAGTTTACTGTCAAGTGACCGACTTTTAAAAGGAGAGAATCCTCCCACTCCAGAACAGCTTACACCCAAGTGCGAAGACAGGTTCTTGAGATGTAGCAGGGGACACGGATGTGAACCGCCTTGCACAGAGAGCACTCGCCTGCACTGCCCATGCTCTGAGGGAATCCTCCTCTCTGAGAGCCACTGGAGGAAGGAGTCTGCTTCTTTTTTAATGAAACGGACTGTTGTATGTCAAGATGTCAGTTCTCTCCGTATGCCTTAAATATGCCTCAGATTTCCCCTCTTAGGCTTGGAAATACAGCCAATTCCACTTGCACATCAAAGGGTCACCAGACCACCCGTCAGGATGGCAGCCACCCGGGCACCTGCAAATGCAGCGCCGACGCTTCTGAGGACTGCGTTCTGGGACTTCACCATCTACTGCACTTATCTCACTACATCTGGATGCCCACAGTCTAGATGCAGAGGTGTCCTTACCACCAATGCAGGTAAAGTCAAAAGAGTCTGGGTATCCTAGGATGTGGGTATCCTAGCAGATGTCTAAAACTGGTTAAGATTAAGCATGCCCCAAAGCCACCCATTCCTCTCCAATGATGATAAAGGGCCCTGGGTGATCAGTTAAGTTCTACAAATCTCCATCATAAATGTCTCAGACTGGGTGAGAAGATTCCTGCCCTTAATACACTTCCAATAGTTCCTTTTACCTTTGCAGCATATGAAACAAGATCTTTGAAAGACCATTTACGTTCATCTTAAAATAATAACGGTGTTTGCACAAACTTCTCTGCTGTACAGAACACAGACAGAACTACTCCACTAAGCTCATCGCACAGGTAGTAACATCTCATGACCATTTCATTAGTGGCATCAGTAAGCACATAAGCATGGAAGATGTGAACAAGAGTGTTTTACACTCAACTGGACTATGCAAGTACTTTTATAGGTACAAGCCTGTCGACATTGCAGTTTTATGATAAGCTACAAGGTCTTTATCAATGATCAGTATCCCAATATTTGAGCACATGTTTTTTCGAACCATTTATATGAGCACTTAACAGCAGAAACAGCCATAGGCATCTAAAAAGGTTTACTACAACTGCAGACCTAATAAATTGATACTTGCCAGAGTAATAAAACTACAGTTACAGAGGTACAGAGTGCAACACATGTATGTAGCTTGGACTAAATATAAGAAAAAAGAAGCACGAAGTGCCCAATGTATAATGAATAACATAAAACCAAAGAAGATCATGACAGTGCATGCTTTTTATAAGCAGAAAAAGAAAGTAAGATATAACGTCTCCTTTCTCTTAAAGCCTGTTCTTTATATCTCCTGGAATAGCATCTTGACTGTATGCTATTACCAAGCTCATCTAAAAAGAAATCTAAGTTTCCAAATCTGGTAGGAGATAAAAAAGCCTACAGATTTTATTGCTTTTTGGTGTTTGGGGGATTTTTACATGCTGTTCACTCACTAAGCTGCACTAGAGTAGAACTATATTCACCACTTCATCAGTCTTTCCTGTTTTGTGACTTCCTATGACTTCCTTTTCATTATTATCTATCTCCATTGCAATTACCAAAGGGGTTCATTAAATACTGTTACATATGGCATTAGTCATCCTATATAATTAATTATAAATAATTGGTTCATTAATATACTTTTCTAAAATAAATAGGCAGCATCTAGTACTTGTAGATGCTGTACTTGTATTATTCATATGCCTTCATAAAGAGCCAGTTACTCTTGAGTCCAAAACTACAAAATGTCTTGAGGAAGATATTGTGCAAAGGAAGTTG